TGAGGATTCGAAAATATTTCATTTTCAAAATAAAAATAATTTGATGATAATTTGTTTATTTGTTTACATTTTTCTGTCAAATGAGTTGACACTAGTAGAACTTACAAAAACAAATTTCCATGTGGTTGTTGTATCGTTTTTTGTACAACAACACTTGCTGTTACCTTCTATTATTATACCATGATATTAAATTTGCATTTATCAAATGAGAACCGAAACCGAAAAAAGAAAATATGATATTATATGCCCTACAGACATTAAAACAACAACAATTTAATTCTAATACTACATTTACATCGAACGCGTTTTATGTAAACTTCATGACTATGTCGATAAAACATGTTTGGGTAAATGTTGCATACATCTCGTTGCATGGTATACAATGTAGTCTTAAGTCGCGTGTATACTATACATTTTATCGTGATAATAATGTAGCTTATCTGGATATAATAGCAAAATCGAGCTGAATTTAGAGTTAAATTCCGCTCGATTTTGCGATTAAATACCCAATATCCATTAAACAACAACAATTTAATTGGATTTGGTCCAAATTCTATGCTAAATAAAGAAAATTTCAAATACAACACTGCTATTGCACCAAAAACTACATCACTTCCACTAAAAATATGCTTCAAAATGGGTTAATATTGAAAATAGTAGCCTAACAGAAATATGGCAGATGTATTTGAAATCTTCTGGATTTAGAATTGGTTTTTAGAGCAAATCGAGATATTAAGTGGATATAATTTTGTATGGTGTATCATGGTAAATTCAGCTCGTTTTAGGAATTAAAACGAGATGAAGTAGTATCACTACGAAAAGATATAGTCCAAACGCGCAATTAGTCTACATAATTGTACACATTAAATTACATTCCTATATATATATATATATATATGTATATACAAATAAGGACGTTAATCACTAGAACTTCTTATGAAAATAATATTATTATATTGTTTGTGTATTAAATACTTACTGTAATACTTCTAAATTTGATTTACATATGTAAATACTTATCTATACTAATAAGGTTTCATTTATAATACTACTTGCAAAAATGTATAATTTCGATATATGTATATATGAATATGTTTGTATAGATATATGTTCTAATCGTTAATGTATTAACTATAACAAATAATTTGTGGTGGGTCTAAGTTAATTTGTTTTTGATCTACTACATATTTTGGTATATAATTTTTTATTTTAGAAAAATTATATTTTTTCTAAGTTTTAATACAAAAATTGTTGAATTTAATTTATAAAAAATTGAATTTATTAATATAAAATTGTTGAATTTAAGTGTTTTAGTATAAAACTTTTATATTGAAAAATATCCAAAAATTAGCTCATAAAAAATGTGGTACATTGTGAATCTAAATTTGAAACTTTTATATTGAAAAATATCCAAAAATTAGCTCATAAAAAATGTGGTACATTGTGAATCTAAATTTTGAATAGAATAAACTGTAAATGACACATCTTTTGGTCTGTTGGCCTTTATGATATCGAAGAAAATAGTAAAAACTAGTATATTCTTGCAGTACGGGGACAGATTTTTTCTATTGTACCAGATTTCGTTAAACCAGTGGGTTTAAATTTTCAATGCCTTTGTATGCATGTCAAATAAATCCTCATAAAATATGTTAACCCGGTAAAAAACTCTAATGTGAAATTTTATAAATTGCTATGCTGAAAGGGAATACAAAACAAATAAATAATATTTTATATTGAAATCTTTAACACTGTATAATTTTCATCGTTAATTATTTTGTATATTTGTAGCATGTTCGTTATATTAAAATATTTGTATAAAAAATATGTCTTAAAACCAGGAAATTCGTTCGTTATAAAGAAAGTTCGTTTTAACCGGGTTTCGTTATAAGCGTTCTCGACTGTATTATATTTTTCCTTGGATGCGTATTAGTATTACCCTTATTCATACGCACTGAGGTTCCAAAGGCCGAATTCCATTCAATATCATTTTTATTACCATTTAGTACTCTCAATACGCATAAGCACAAATTTCCGAAATCTTTCTTATTTCCAATTTACAGATTCAAAATTAATCAGAATTCCAATTATATATTTTAGCAAACAGGTTCCACATTTAGTTCCATTCAGCACTTATCGAAAACATAAGTACACATCATTAAGACTACCTCCATATATCAACCGTACTTCTAATAATTGGTCTGTTCCTGTATTTTTTTACTAGTAAAACTAGTAAAAGGGAAACACTTCAAATCGCTCTCAGAGTACAAAATAATTTGAAAAGTTCGGGAACGCAAATCTAGTAAATATGCCAAAATAAGATGGCAATTCTTCGAAATCAACATAACAGCCAATCAGAAGTAGGCATTCCTGTTTACCATTTTTATTCGGCCAAATTTCTCGAGTAAAAAGTTTACAAAGATAACGCCATTTTTTACCAGCTTTGTAGGTTCAGGATCGGATTTCGAGTAAAAAGTTGCAAAACTTATAAAATTAGTAGATTATTTTATGATCACTATAAAATATTTGTCAATTTTAAATCTGGACCAAGGCATAACTATGGAAGGTAGTCTCATTTGAAAATTTAATAATGACAACCCTTTTTTAATATGGAATTCATATATCATATTTCATTTCAAATAAAATGAAAAAAATTCCATAACATTTCTAAAGCAGCACATTGCTATCAAAATTAAACCTAGGTTCTTAAGGGCCCCATACACTATACATCATGACGTCATGCCGATGAACCCCTTTTTGTATATGTGAGATTGACTAGTGTATGGCAAACTCTTCAATCACTATTCCAAAAAATCGATTTTTGTCCAAAAAATCACATTTTGAATCGTAAATTCAGTTCTTTTTATTTCGTCACAATTTTATTATTTGTATACTCAAAATTATATACTGCCAACTTTGAAAATGAATAAAATTCACCAGATTGAAATGGTTTCATTTTCAAAATCAAAACTATTTTGATTTTCTTCATGCATTGTGTGTGTCACACATACATAAATAAACTTTAAAAAAATAACACATACTATGATAAATGCTGTACGGCATGATGTACATTGTATGGGGCCCTTTACAAGCTATATTTATAAGTTTTAATGTCAGGGAACTGCAAAATATTTATAAATATAAATGATTTAGCAATTTTCGCTTCTGTACACATGATATTTTTATTTAAATTTTGAAAGCTGAATGCTGTCAAACGAAATTTATCAAAAAATTGGAAACATATGACTGCCTGAGACTACCTTGTATATTCATGCCATGAACTGGACATTTAAAATATAATTAATATTTTCATTCATAATTTCAAAATTATTTTTCAAATTGTCTGAACGCCTACGTCACAAAGGCAATTTTTAATTTTTTGACAATTAATGCATGAATTCAATTGTCTTATACTGTTCTGTCGCTAGTAAACGCAGGATAATTTTTAATATAAAAAATAGGACTTGATAATGGGTTTACTTACTTTATGAGGATTTATTTGACATGTATACAATGAAATTGACAATTTAAACCCACTGGATTAACGAAATCCTGTATTATGTAAACGTACCATAAATATTGGGTAAAAATGCTTTGTTTTGTTGCTATTGTCTATTCAGAAAGCCAAAAAAAAACATTTTTTTTAAATTTTTACTCTTATATTCTAAATATTTTGCGGTTTTTGAGTATTGGTACACCATCATACACATATGATTTCCTTCATTTGGTGTTGTTTAAGGGAACCCCCCCCCCATTCTCGATTTGAATTTTTTAAGATTTTCAATGGGCTGGTAAATCAATACCAATGCTTGTTAAGGTTTGTAACTTTGCACATATATAATTGAAGATTTAAAAGAAGAAAAATAATTTACAACAAAATTTTGTTATTTTGTTGTTGTTTTTTGTAATTAAAGAAAAGTCCTTATTTTTTATGGCGGGCATGACAACTCCTCACTGGAACATCGGAATCCGAAAATTCCAACGGTGTGAGAAAGAGTACATGTCTGGCTCTCGTATGAACCAGGATTATTGACTTCGCTCTAAAATTAACAAAATGGTGGACCTTTGAAAAAATATTTTTGGAAAATCGCCGATTTTTGACCAAAAACCAAATTAAAAAATAAGGAAGATCTTCACCGATTGGCTTTATCCTAGTTCATACGAGAGCTATACACTCCCAGAGAAACGATGGAAAATTTAGAACCGATTGGATTATTAGTTTTTGAGTTATCGTGCCCGCCATTCGCAAAAAAATGTTTAGAGAAAAACGCGTTTAAAGTTTGAGAAACCCTTTAGCCGTCACTTGATGTTGACACACTAAATCGGATATATCTTCAAAAGTTCTTGAGATTTTCACTTGAAATTTTGTAGAAACATTCTTTAATCAGTGTAGATTCGAATTATATCAACAAAAATTTTGACCCCGAGAATGGGGGGGGTCCCCTTTGAACTAAATTTTGTGTTCAACATTGAATTGAAATAAATTATAATTTCTACTTTTTAATATCTAAATATATATTCATTTTGTATATATGTATGTATCTAGATAACATTGATATGCACTATTTGCACTAAATGTTTATCTAAATGATATATAATGATCATTACATATAATTTTCTTGTTGTTGTTATTGTTTTTCATTTAATAATTTAATACTATAACTATTAATAACAATATTTACATACTATATGAGGCGGCCATGGATGATTGATATTGAATCGAATCTGCCTACATTATACTCACATGGAAAAATACCCACACACACCCACAATATGTATGTGTGTTTGTATGTAATATTTCTGAAATAGTGAGCGAGTGAGCTGTAGATTCTGTCTTGAGGCATTTTTATTTGATTTCTCTTTATAACTTTTGACTGGCGATCAGACCACTTCAAATAATATGATCACTATCCTCCTCCTCGTCAACGACGTCTCTGCCATCGTGATCCAAAAGGGCTGAATTCATTTTCGGCCCCATTATATAATGGTGACTCGTATACCAATCATAAAGTAAATCTCACAAAATCGTACAAATCGCAAATAGAGCGATCACAAAGAAGACCATGGCAACGATATCTTTGTGTAGGCTACGATCTCGATAGAATGGTCGGGTACTGTACGATTCTTTGCGGACACGATTCAACAGCCATAGTGGTATCACCAGCTGCATTATATCGGGTACCATAAAACCAATATCGCGTACAATTTGATGGGCATAACCTTCACCGCGTACCACATTTAAAAAGAATTGATCGAAACTGCTGGCCACAATGTGCAGTATCGCAATGCCAACGATGCAGAAGATTTTTTTCGTTGTCACCAGATTGGTGCTGTCGGCCAAATGCATTACCATAACAGAGGCCATAATTTCGGTTAACTGAATGGAAAATAAAAAAGAAAAAGACAATTTAGTAAATATAGACTCTAGATATATGTTTAGAATAAATATTAAGTGGTTTAAAGTTTGGACCAAACGTGTGGCATTTAAACTGCTCAAGTAGTCTTTCATATCCAATAGAAATTTTCCTTCTGGTGACTTCATATACTCACACACGTCTTTCATACACAATAGGGTTTCCTCCCCAACATCCTGTCACACAGTGTTATCTTAATATAAAAATCTGATTATTACATTATCACATTACTTACCGTGAAAAATAACTGATGATTCCACTGCTGATAGTAATCATCATTGTAATAATTCAGATATGCCCACCATGCATAATAATGTGAGAATATCGACAAACTGAAGAGTACCAACATTGAATAGCGCACCCGCTGTTGCATTATCAGGACAATCAGACGTTTGATACACTCGTACAGGCCAATGACCGCGATCACTGTCAGCAGCCACATCTTAAAAGTATTCTGTGTCGCATTGAAATACATGTGCTTATAGGCGGCCACACCCGATTCATAGGGACCCTTAAACACTGTATCCCAACAGGAGCAGGTACAAAAATGTTTATCCACATAGCGGGCATAATTCTCCCAAAAATACCATAAAATTGCCATGTGTGCGGGTGGTATTAGCGCGGGTGCCAGAGTGCCACATGCGGCCGGTAACCATTTGGCATCGAACATTTTCGTTAAGTGTACAGCTAGAATTTTCATCGTTGTTTTTTTCGAAATTGTTCGTTTTTGTTGGGTAAATTCTATTTTGTTTGTATGTGAGTATGTATATTTGTTTTTGTAGAAAAATATGTAAATCACAGCAATTCCATGATATCTGAAAAAAAAAAATGGGAATATATGTTAGTTACAAAAATTAGTTCTGTTCCAGTGCTTTTTAATTGTAAAGCTACTTAAAGGGAGAAATGTCTAAATCGTTCCCAGACTACAAAATAACTAGGAACGGAAAGCTAATAAATATGTCAAAATTAGATGACAATTTACTAATCCAAAATTCCCGAAAAAAAAATTTTACAAAGATAACGCAGTTTTGCTTTAAATTCTCTTAAATTTGGTTGAAAGTTTTACTAGATTTGTGGGTGGGTTGCCAAAATTAGAACTATAAAAAATGGGTTGAGGCATCGGGTTACCTGAACACACTCGGAAAACACCACATGCAAAAGAATCGAACAAGAAAACCAAACCTCCCAAATGTTGACCCCCGCAAACATATGAAGGACCAGGATCTGCGAACTGGAGCAGTTTTCGCTTTGGCTGATGCAGTCAAAAAGTACAAAACCGATATTATTGTATTACTGGAAATGCGATGGAAAGGGACAGGCGTAAGTAAATCAGATGATTACGCACTGTATTATAGCTGCCATGAAACGAGAAATTAATTTAGCTGCGGATTTATGGTTAACAGGAGAATAAAAGACCTCGTCTCCAGATTCACCTCAGTAGATGAGCGAATTGCTATAATCCGTATAAAAGCGAAGTTCTTGTACATCATTTTTTTGTGCTCATGCTCCGCCGGAAGACAAAGACATATTTTACAAGCGTTTAGGAACTGCTAGGAGATTTTAATGCAAAAATCCCACCGTCGGAAAATGCGTCCTCCATGAAGAAACATCAGACAACGGCATGAGGTTTATTGACTTCGCGGCAGCAAAAAAGCGTGGTAGTTAGCAGCACCAGATTCAAGCATCTCGATATACACAAGACCACCTGGATTTCTCCTGATCTGCTGAAAAATAATAAAGAAGCTGTGGCCGATGGGTTACCAGCCGAACTATTCAAATGGGGTGGTTATTAGCATGTACCAACTGATTAGTACAATTTGGCTATGCAATGCATACCCAATGATTGGAACCTCAGCATTCTGTGTACCGTGCACAAAAAGGAGATATGATATGTGTCAACTATAGAGTAATAAGTCTCCTTCCCATCGCATATAAAATGCTATCCAGCGTACTGTGTAAATTGGACCATTGGCCAGATTTTTACTCTGCGCCAAATCCTGCAAAAGACCCACAAAAAACACATTCCACCTATTCCTCGACTACAAAGCTGCATTCGACAGCTCTATTCAGTCTGAGGTTTTTAAAGCCTTTGAACAAATTGAGAAGGACTCGGACAACTGTGGAACTTGAAAACTACAGCTTCGAGGTAGTCAATGATTTTATATACCACGGTACCGACATAAATAAAACTAATAACATCAGTTAGTTGATAGTGTTGGCCAATAGATGGTACTAGATGGTCTAAGTGAGCAATTTAAAAATAAGGCCACCTCTTACCAGACCAAACTCACGCTCTACAGGACGCTGATACTACCCGTGCTAGGAATATGAATTAGAAGCATTGGTACTTGTGCAAACAGCTGAGGCAGCTCTGGGAGTGTTTGAGAGAAAATTTTTCAGAAAGATCTATGAGGCAATCTGCGTTAACGGTGAATATCGCCGTCGAATGAACCATGAGTTGTACCATCTATTCTCGGACATCGACATAGTCAGACATATCGAACTGCAGCGGCTACGTTGGCCCAGCTCAAGAGGCATATAAAAGCGAGCCAACTGATAGTTCACGTAGAAGGGGAAGGCCACTGATTCGATGGAAAGATCAAATGGAAGACAATATTTCGGAACTTAGTCTTTCAAATTGAAAGAGCTGCGCACAAAATCGACGCGCCTGGAAATCTTTTTTAAGCTCGGCTTATGGAACAAATGCTAAGAATTCTAAACCAACATTTGTAAATAAACTCAATTTTTCCGATTTCCGTACGACAGATTTATCGATGATTGTCGATTAATGCAAATTTTAATTTGCTTTTAACTTCGTTAATTAACGAAAATGTTTTAAACATCGCAGATATCCGACCAGTTGACTTTATTCTGTGGGGTTTAGACCCACTCTATGATTTAGGCCTTAGAACACAACGACATGTGTGTTATACGCCAATTTCCCAGTTGACATGCTCGAACAATCTGTTTTTTAGGCTGCGATTTTGGTACACTTAAAGGTTTGTATTACTAAACAGAACACTATTCAAATTCGTCTGTTTATTTTTTTAAACCAATCCATTTTATTCAACATAATTGAAAATTAAAAAGTTGTCCATTTTATTTTTTACAAACATTTGCATTAATTCGCACACACAATAATTATGCAATTGAATCTTGTTTCTTGAGTTTTAATTTTAAAAGTCCCCAGTTTATATTTTTTTAAATCGATTTATTTCATTTAACATAATTTAAAATAATACAATTTTAATTTTTTTAATAAAAATTTGATATATTTCATTTAACATAATTTAAAATAAAACAATTTAAATTTTTTAATAAAAATTTGCATTCATTTGCACGCATAACAATTATGCAATTGAATCTTGTTCTTTTCACATTTCGAAATAACCAACCGGCCGGTGTAATTTTTTTGTGTTTTTTATTTGTCTTTGGCACTTGTTGCGTATGAGTTACATCTGTTGAATCTACTTAGTGTCAATCATACGCCCATAAGGTAATCGGATTCTTCGGCAAATGTACGAGTATGTACGTATTGTTTTAATTTGAATGCACTCTTTTTATTTTATTTTAATTCGTCTGCAAAAGTTACCGTATCGGAGTCTAGAAACCGTACAAATGACCAAAGTCACTGACAAAGAATATTGTGGGCCAAATTCACGAATAGACAACGAAACAACAAAACAAATAAAAGTAAAGACGGAGAGAGTAAACTTTTCATATGCAGTTCACACATTTGGGTTGCTTAGGTGTTGTTGCTGTTGTTTGTTTGTTTTTAATAAACACACATATGAATATGCGAGTAGAAGAGATATATATGACACACATATGTGTTTGTGCACACATATGTACGTACAGCATAACATATTTAAATTTATATATATTAGGGTGAATTTGCAATACAATCGCCTTTATTTCCTAGAAGAGAATAAAACATTAGGGATAGTCAGTGGACATTTTGTATAACGGATCCATGTAAATATGTAACTCGAATAAAACATTAGGGATAGTCAGTGGACATTTAGGGATAAATACACAGCAGTACAAGCTGCTACAACAACAACAAATATAAAGTATTATAGGAGCCAAGCAATAAGAGATCGTAATGGTAGGCTACTAACAAACAATGATTAACAAATTTGCAGATTGGGAGGATATTTCGAAGAAAAATGTATGAGAGCGGTTTAAGCCATGACAGAACCAAAGCTGAATTATGTAGGCCTCAGACAAACGAATTACCACATATAAATCATTGAGAAAAAAAATGAAGGGTATAATTTTTTCCCTTTTACTTGTACTTGAAATTTTATTACATATATTTTTTGAAATACCCTAATATACACAAACTCGTTAGAAATTCATAAATGAATATTTGCATACACACGTATGTATATATGTTTGTATCATGAAAACTAACATTTCAAAGTGCATTCTATAAATGGAAAAGTCATAAAAAATTAAATCTGGCAAATACGCTCATATTTTAAAAATAGCTGATCCATATTTCGATCGCCGAGGAGATAATTTGCACTATAACACTATGATACTTTTTTTAATGTAATGCAATATAGAGAAATTTAAAAACTTTTTAAACAATTTTAATTTTTATTACTCAAAAAGTCTAAAATAATTTTTAAAAAACTGATAAGAAATCTTTTTTATATAAATTTAAAATCAAAAAAATTACATGCAAGTATTTTTTCCAAAATTCAAATAATAAAGTGAAAGTAATGTATTATGTAGTCTTGACAAAACTATGGAAACATTCAAAAGTTCTGCACGAGAAATATATAAACTGAAAGTTAATTGATGGAATATCGAAGCAAAATGATTTATATTATAGTGTTATGATTTAAATTGTTCTTTCAAGTGGTTTTTCTTTTAACCCATGACATAATTACACAATGTAGTCTCATGCAGACATATGATTCCAATATTTTCATAATTTTACTTTTGACAACATTCAGAATTCAAAATTTAAATGAAAATATCCTCCTTCGAAATGTACGCACAGCACGTATTCAGTGGCAATAATTACAAAATTTTTAATATCTTGAAGCCCCCCGTCTCTATAATCTATAAATATAATTTGTAACGTCTATAGATATATCTAAAGAGCATTATTAATCAAAAAATTGAGATATGCCAAAAATATGCCATTCGACATGCATACAATTTTATGGAATTTATTTTTCAAACAATTTGAGTTCCAAATTTAAAAGGGTTGCCATTATTAGTTTATTATGATGCCATGCATGGTGCAATAATAAGGTGATGTATCAAATCAAAAACCTTTGCTTTTGTCTCGATCTTCTGTCAAATTTTTCCTTATAATATTTCACATGGTTGGCAACATTGCACATCGAATTCAAGTAGAAATTTCCCACTTTGACAGTTCATCGAGACATCAGCAGCTGCAAATGAACTACCTATTTATTGTGCCTTGATGCCATGTTTTTTTTTTAATGGCATAATTTTTCAAGGTGGTCTCATTCGTGAAATGGGTAATGGCAGTAAATAAAATAAAAAATAAATTCCATAAAATTATATATATGTCGATTGGCACATTTTCAAAAAAAAATACAAATTTATATATTCTAAAACTACACATTGTTTCAAATATTTAACTGTGGGTGCTACAATATATATTTATAGGTTTTAAAGGCAGATATCTTCAAAATATTAATAAATATA